ACCCCACTCCCACCGTCTGCGCTTCCCTGGGAGTCGCCCCCGTCCTAACCTCGCTTCTCCATCTGCACCGTCTGCACGCGGCTCGCTCGGGCCTTGCGGGTCCTGCAGGCTCTGCCCCCTCCCAGCGGGGTCCCTGACCTTGAACCAGAGATGAAGCGGGGCTGGCTGTCTCTGGGGCTGTCCTTTCTCTAGACCAGTGGTTCTCAACCTTCCTAATGCCGCGACCCTTTAATACAGTTCCTCATGTTGTGGTGACCCCCAACCATAAAATTATTTTCGTTGCTACTTCATAACTGTAATGTTGCTACTGTTATGAATCCTCATGTAAATATCTGATATGCAGGATGTATTTTCATTGTTACAAATTGAACATAATGAAAGCATAGTGATTAATCACAAAAACAATATGTTGAGAACCGCTGCTCTAGACCCATGATGGCTTTCCTCTCCCGGTCGCATTCCTCCCGGCGATTTTGATTTTGCCGAGTGGGTGGGAGAAGGGGGGCGGGGGGATGACAGTCATTGGACTGTGATTGGGAAAGTGTAGCGGCTCTGCCTATGGTTCCCGGAGGCACTGCCTCACGTCTGGGGGCTCTGCTCACCCACTCTTAAAGGGCTCTGCCTACCTACTAAGAGGGGCCTGGGGGCCAACCGAGGACCTCCAGGGTGAGGGGACCCACCCCACTGGACCCAGCCTCCAGCCTGCAGTGAGCGAGCGCCACGCCAGGCCCCAGGGCTGCACTTCCCCCGACCCCCCAGTGCAGATGGTGCCTGTCTTCTCCAGCCTCCGGGAGAGGGCATGGATAGTTTCCAGTGCAAAGGGAAAATGTGGGGCCCCTTTTCCAAATGTACTAAGAATTTCAAGAAGGCACAGCAGAGCCTTCAACCAAGCCGGCCGTCCCCCTGCCCGCCCCCGGGGACTGCACAGGGAGCGGGAAGGCCCTGGCGGGAGCCTGGGCGAGGGCTTGCTCTGCAGAAGGCTGGCTACCTATTTAGGTAAAACCAGTGAAGACCTGGATCTAATGAAGAAACAGGCCAGGACACCACTCCTTCCTGGAGAACTTGTGTAGCATCAGGCCTTCAGCGCTCCCTGGAGAGCCTGCTGATCAGCTCTGCCTCCCTTCTTCTTTTTCATTGATTTTATAGAAAGGAAGATGAGAGAGAGTGTGAGAAAGAGAGAGATGGATGGGTCTCATGGGTTGGTTGCCTCCCACACATGCCCCAGCTGGGACTGGGGATCAATGCTGCAACCCAAGGACATGCCCTTGGCCTGGTATTGACCTGGACACCCCTGGGTGTGCGGCCCACGCTCTGACCATTGAGCAATGCCAGCCAGGGCTCCGGGAAAGGATTGTAATGAGAGCGTCATTCTCCCACGCCGTTTAACCCCTCCCCATCCCCACCCTGTCAAGGCATCCTCCAAGATTCTTTCCTCAGAGGCAGTGGTGAGACATCAAGTGGATGACTGTGAAACCTTAGGTAAGACAGTGGGGTGGAGCATTTTTACCCGGGGCAGGAGGAGTAGGGCCTTGAGTTTAAGGAGAGGAGTTAGGGGGAAGTTTCAGGAACTCTTGTGTGGGCAGAAGTCTGGGATGCCTGGCACACATGAAGTATCTACATGGAAGGAATGTTAGAGTAAGATAATCAAGCTGTCATTCCAGAGCATTGCTACAGAGTGGGGAGGTTCAGAGGGGGGTGACAGAGAAGGGAATCCCTATGTTGCTTGAGCAATCGCAAGCATGTTTTGGTTATTCAGGTCGAAGTCTAATATTGGGGACTGTTCCATGATTTTAGAGTTTGAAGGCATCATAAAGGGAATTCTAGCGTAATGTTGCAGGCAGACCCAGGGGTAAAGGAAAG